CGTAGACACATAATCCAGAGTGGTCCGCGGCTTGATTGGACCCCGACATCGGCAGCTTGCTCTGACATATATATACGCGCCGATATATTTCTATTTGAATCCGCGGACGATCGCGAGCCGTCCCTGGAGGCAGCGCGACGGCGACGAAAGAAATTCTCTCGCAAAGTATGCCGTCCGTGAAATCAATTTTCATCACGACCCCATTGTCCATATCTATTTACCTGAGGATCGATTGGGATCCGCGACAAGGGACGAAACGCCGACGGCCGCGAACGTAACGTGGGGGACGACGGTGGGGATCGTATGTCAACGTTCACAAGGTAAATTAACAACAACGTTTAATGAGACGTGTGCTGATGTGTAACAAGACTGTCGTAATCGATCGAGCCTTCCGTGCAGGAGTAACTTCGTATTTGCGATAAATTCAGCCTGCCTCCCCTTCCGTCGACGCCAGAAACACGGACGACATCCTAGCCACGCAATGTCCGCGAAGCGGGAAAACTGAAAGGATTTCTCTCGTCCGCGATTCCCTCCCTCACCTCGCTCGCTCCTTTCGTTCCCTTCGCAAAGAACTTCCGTAATTCGCTTACGCATTCGCAATGGACTTACCCTTGCCTCCGTTTTGCAACACTTTCCCGGTTTATCCGACCAGACAGAAATCTCAGAAAGAGCCCTTCTTACGTAAAGAGCGAGCGAAGGGGGAGAAAAGTGCGGGTGACCGGAGTCGGCGCGGGAAGGAAGGGAGGAGGTCATTAATTGGCTTCTGCGATCCTCTCTCGGACCTTCCTCGCCCGTGTTACGATACAAACTCGACACGCTATCGTGCCAACGCGTATCTTCTTCCTCACCTCATCATCAACTCTACCTCCGCTTCATCGCGCTGCTTTTGCATTTGCGTTTTATTTTCGTATCTCCCGTTTGAGTCGAGTCATTTGACCCGTCGCTGAGCCAAGCTAATCCCCCAGATTGTCAATGTTAATCAGTTTGACTTACACTTCGAGTAATAATTTAATAGAAAATAATTGTAGTCAGTACTATTTCCCTTCTATAAAAGGAATGATTAAAAACATTAATGTGCCACTGTAGTTGATCCGCTACCGCCAATGCAGAGTCATTTTGACTCCCTCATTTAGCCGTAGTTATGCAAGAATGATCTAACCCACATATATTGAGAGACATAATTATTCGATAAAAAATTAACAAACGGATATTTTTGTTTCCAATCAGAAAACATCCGATGAAAAACATCGGTTCATAATTTTTTGATCGGTTTATTTGATGAAATGTTATTATATACACTGAGAGAAAAATTATGTTAAAATCAACAAATATTTCTTTGATGGGTGCGCCATTAACATATTTATATAAATCTACATTCTTTTTATTTAAATCAAATATTGTTTATTTAATTTAAATAAACAATATTTGGTTTAAATAAAAAGAATATAGATTTAAGTAAATATGTTAATGGCACCCATTAAAGAAATTTGTTGATTTTAATATAATTTTTCTTTCTCTCTCTCTCTCTCTCTCTCTCTCTCTCTGTGTGTGTGTGTGTGTATGATTGGAAATATTTAATTAAATTTAATTGGATATTTTGATCGGATATAAAAATTTACCGGTATTTTGAAAATATCCGTTTCTTATTAATTTTTTATCGGATAATTTCTCTCTAGAGGATGTTTTGAGAAAAATAAAGATGAAAATTTGATATCAATGATATTTAAATTTAAAAAATTTAAATAGTACTGAGATTGTTCTCAATTGTTCAAGAAATCAGGCATGTAGAATTTTATAGACCAATATCTTGAAATCTATTCAAATACCGATATTTTGATCCATAAAAACGCTGCAACACTGTGCAGCGTGACGTTGAAATAATAATCTCGCCCAGTAATGGAAAGGAGATGAGTGTGGCATTATCGCTAGTACAGTTGCTCAAAGAGTACTGCGATCCTGATGACACCGGCGTGCCGACGTATCTCGCTTCTTGCGGCGTATAAAATATTTCAGATTGGCCGGTAAATAATGAGCGCGATTTATCTGTGGCGCATTTGTCATGTCGCGAAATCCAGTCACGGATATTGGAAAAACATTCGGCACGTCGGGACGCCGCCAATAAGATCGATAAAACTTGAGGACGCGGTAACGACGTGAGAAATCTCGGGAAAAAAAGCGTTGGCGCGGCGACGACGACGACGACGCGGGCGACATTTTCGTGTTCAACCCGCGCGAAAAGAGCTTCTCCCCGCCAAGTTTTTGGTATTTTTTCATTTTCTGAAAGGCACTTATGCGTTCTCCTCTGCTTCGCCTCGGGCAGGAGCAGCAGAGGAGCACTGAGGAAGCGCGTTCGCTCGCTCACGCGACATCGCCCCGGTACTAATGCACGGTAATCGCACGGCAGCTGACGAAGCCTCCGCAGGCCTGACCCCAACGCCGTCATGAATGATTCAGTGAGCGGACGTAGTACGGAGGGTCATTATCGTTATAAAGGGGAATGAATTTTACACGAAACACCATAGACGCTGCGCAATAACGCGCGACATTCATCGTGCCAGAATGGACGTCGCGCCGCATGACAACGAGAACGCATGTGAAGAGAGAGGGAGAGAGAAAGAGGGGGTAGGGAGAAAAAGTCGGCCTAATAAATAATCAAAGCGAGTCGTTTAGATATCATCAAACTGCGAGCGCGTCACATGCAATGCAATGGGGACACGAAGGGACAAATTTCACTTCCATATCAGTCAACTTAATTAAATAGCGAGGCGGTCGGTACGGCGGAAATAATGTTCACCGTCAGAGTTTCCTCTCTTTTCTTCAACAAGGAAAGATACAGAAGATTCTGACAGTTAACTATCAAGTAAAAATAATGATTTAGATCCTAACGGGAGAATCAACTGTTCGCGACGGTGTAACGTACTCGGGGAAAATATTATAGTAAAAACTGCGTTCATATTGTATTTTTCATTTTTTTTTGCACTGTTTTTTGTAAAGCTGCATTGCATTGGCATTGTGATACAAATTACAAATTAATACTGTAGAGATAGTAAAATTTGACGATTTACTTGGATACAGAAAACATTCCAGTATTTGCAATCATTTTGTAATAAAATGTCAAATGCGCAGAACATTTTTGAACAAATATACAGCAATTTCGGTCACGATTTCTGTATCATTATTCTGTATCCGAGATCATGGGAAAAAATGTCTGTTCTACAATATATTCTCTCCGCGACGTGTCAAACCCGGATTTTTGACACACAAGTGGAGCAGGCAGTCACGTCGAACCGACACTTTTATCCTGCGATGAATATTCTGCTATTCATTATTATTGCAACATTAATCAACCTCCTAATATTAAGGAGAATAATATATAAATTATACCCCCTTAATAACACCAAATTCCCATTATTTCCCGACAGTATTTTTCGCGACACTTGCTGCAGATTCTTCTCTAATCTTTTTCGAACAAATTCGCACGAGCAGTGAGAGAAGAAAACAATGCTGGGACAGGCGCGCTTGTCGGCTCCATCGTCCTGGTGCCGCTGGCGCGCATTACGAGTCCGATCTCCGCTCCACGGCTGGCGGAGGATAATAATTTTCCCTCGCATAATTAACGATTCACGCTTGACGCTAAGCAACTCCCCTTTCTCGTATTCAGCCAAGGTAAGACGGGGCTGATTCAGGTGGAAAACAACGCGGCGCGGATCGACCTGCAAGTCGCCGTCGATCTCTACTACTTGGGGCGCTTTAAAAGCATGCCTCGTTCTGCCTTTATGAAATTCACGCTATAAGTCTCGTTTTCTTTCTCTCTCTCTCGCTCGCAGGTGAGTTGATTGGATTGGCCATATAGCGGCGCAACCCCGTTTTTGAACGTGAAAGGCGACCGAGATTCGCAGCGGCCGCTGGCGGGTATGAGGGTACGCCGCGGTTATATACATATATATATACAGGGTGTTCGGAAAGTACCGGGACGCCCGACTATCAGGAAAAATATAAGTTTTACAAAAAAATGTTTCAGACAAAAGTTGTGGCGTTTAAAAAGATGTATTTACTGATCACATCAGTTTGACCTTGGGTTGCGTAGCGAAGGTCAGGTCAAGGTCACATTAATTTTTTTAAATGGAACACCCCATTTTTCATTGCATATTCTTATAGCACATCTCGAGAGCTTTTCAAAACACTATAATAAAATATTTTTTCGTTAAGAACTTTTCGAGTGTTATTACTCGAAAAGTTCTTAACGAAAAAATATTTTATTATAGTGTTTTGAAAAGCTCTCGAGATGTGCTATAAGAATATGCAATGAAAAATGGGGTGTTCCATTTAAAAAAATTAATGTGACCTTGACCTGACCTTCGCTACGCAACCCAAGGTCAAACTGATGTGATCAGTAAATACATCTTTTTAAACGCCACAACTTTTGTCTGAAACATTTTTTTGTAAAACTTATATTTTTCCTGATAGTCGGGCGTCCCGGTACTTTCCGAACACCCTGTATATACATGTGTGTGTGTGTGTGTGTGTGTGTGTGTGTGTGTGTGTGTGTGTGGACGAGCTTAGATTTCGATTTGGACGGAGCTTTACGCGAGCGTCGAATGGCACCAATTTTCACAGGCCTCGTGAAACTCCCGATATACAGGACGGATGAAACTTTATGAAATTCATGAGGGACGGTAGCTGCACTTACCGGCCGAAGTGGCGCGGCCGCGAATATTTCTCCCGGAAATCGTCGCCGCAGGGAGCGCGGAGGAACTTCTCGTGGATTTTTATATAAACTTCGGATCTTTGATTCAGCTCATAAAATTTTCAAGGCGCGAATGAGCGACGGTATCGGAAATTGAATATGTATCCGTGTGTGTCTGCGTGCGTGGGGATACCTGTGCGCCCTCGAGTGTATCCTCGAATACGGACACGTTTGTTGACTCGCCAATCGTGACAAAGTGACTCGTTCATTTCGCGTTTAAATGTTCGGCAACATAAACGAGATAATCACTCACCGAATGTCGTGACTTCTGTCCGCCAAGTCCAACCTATTACTGCATCTTCGACGTTGGTCGACGAACCAGTCCTGCAAATACACAAGAACAGAAATCTTTCAGTACTTTCAGTACCCAAGTAACATATGGAAATAATTGTAAGGGAAAAAATTTGTAGCGTAAAAATTATATTAAAATAATATTCTTTTTACGATATTTCTTTTCTGTAAAACTAGACTATATTGAAATTGTGATAATTACTAAAATATATCGAGATTTATTTTTCTGTAAGTCAGTTATATATTTTTGTTAATTGACCTGTTAGCTGGGTCAATATTTTTAGCATTTTTCTATATCTACAGTTTGTTATTTCACAAAATTATATTTCATTAGGTGTTTTGTTCCTCCTGCGGAATATTAATTGAAAAATATATATAAAGTACTATAGAAATAATAAATTCGACGACCTATCTGATATTTTATAAAAAAATTTTCAATTAATATAATTTTGTAGCAAAAAGTCAGTGTGCATGACATTTTTAAACAAATATATAGTCATTTTAGACATAATTCTGCAAGGTCCAATACGAGGGGGTGGGTATTATGTATCTAAGATTACAAAAGTTTTACTGCAATATTTTCTCCATGTTTAGAGAGATTATAATCGGGATATTTATAAAATATTTTTCCCAACATTGCTTATTTCACTATAACTCTAATTGGAGTTCTTATTTCAAACATGAGTTCTCTATCTGGAATCCAGACAGAAATAATATGGAAAATTCCGTTTTTTGTAAATAAAGTTTATATAGTCACAAATAATCAAATAAAGAATTTTACTTTTATATCAACCGTGAAGTTCAATAAAAAAACGAATAAAATAAAAAACGAAAAATTTTTAAAAGATTCTAGAGTATTTACAGTTTGTATATATTCATACTTTTGAGAAGTTTACATATTCTCAAAGCATGTTACGTGTTCGATTCTAATGTAAAATAGACACTAGAGAAGAGCTTGGAGAAACAGGGAAAGCAAGTGAGATCCATTTAGATTTCCCACTTGGTTCCCGCGTGTTTGAAACACTTCCCCTTCTAACCTGATTCCAATCAGAGTTTGTAACTTCTTTGGAAAATCAGATTGGATCCCAATTAGATTCTGAATATTCTATGTAAGATGCTAAAGGTAAAAGCGTAACATGATCGAGGACTCCATGTTCGAATTAGAAAACCCATAAAGCGTCTTCGTGACAATGCCGATTTCGCCGAATAAATGTTATCCGTTCTTCGTTAACGCGAATACTTTCGCGCGACGATTGACGATTCAGACGAGGGACCAAAGCCCGAACGTTCTCGCGGCTTCTCGGGAACTTCGGTGTGACGAAGTGCTCGTGAACAAGCAGGAATGACCGGCAGCAAGAAGTTTTATCCGCGCTCGGGACCAACAGTGGAGTGGGTTTGCGGTTGGCAAGAGATGCGGGGTGGTGGTCCTTTCGAGAGCGATCGCGGAGGCCATCGCGGACGGGAAAAGGGGGAGGTGTGCATTGATTCCGGACGAAAGACGGCCGTCGATGGTGGTGACGGCGGCGACAGCAGTGGCAGAAACGAAGGCGGAGACGGTGGTGCGTATACTCCATATGTATTTCAACATTTCAAGGTGGTTGGGCAGTCGATACCCTTCTTTATCATTTTTACGGCCGGGCGGGGGAAACGTCCGCATATTTATTCGCCGCTGGCGGCAATAAAACACAGACGGCCACACGAGCGCATATCCGGCTGTCGTGTCGGCGCCTCGTCCCGCATGGCGCATAATATCTCGCTCAGGGATCCGCCGTGGCAAAAAGTCACTGGCGAGGGGGAGGGCAGGACTGGTTGTGTATGCTACAACGCGCGTCTGATTCGCGTAAAAAATGAGGATGAACGGGCCAGATCGCGCCTCGCCTTGACTCGCCTCACGCCTCGCAAACTTGATGAAACGTTGGAAGACTATTCCCGGCAGATTCATCGGCCAACTTTAGCCGCCTTCTTCGCGCGAGCTCGCCTGCTCGCGCGCGAGCGCTTCTTCGGTTCCCATCGAAGTTGTCTAACTTCGTAGTGGATGTGTTTGATAATGGCATACTTCGTGGAGTAGCGAAGTTGGGAGCTCCCTGCTCGCCAGGAAGCGACCCGACTCGACTCGACTCGACTGGGCGCATATACTTCGCTATGAGCTGGGAAAAATGGTGGATACATTTCCCCTTGTCGAGCGCGTTCGCACTTCACTGCGAGCAAGCCGTCGGACAGGCGTACGTAAGAGCGTTCGTTGTGCAGCGAGTTATATTGGCAGGGCAGAGGAACGCGCCCCGGAGAAACCGCCACGTCGCTCTTCGTGCAGCTTGCGCGACGGACGTCGTTGTCTTGCAAACTTCGACCGTCGATGCCAAAGTCCCAGCGTGTTTCCCCGCCGCGTGATCGCCACGCCGATCGAGTCGTCCGCGGATAAACACGACGCGTCGCGGACAGGAAACGTGAAACTACGTCTATCAGGATGTTAACCCACGAGAGACCGATGCCTGTTGTAAAAAAACCGGTGTGAAGTTCGCGCCTGACTTTAAGGAATTCAAAAATCGTTAACACCATAGGTTTGTAGGTCTCTGGAACCTTTTGTGTTTCACTTCTATACGAAGGGTTAAAAAGTTATTGCGGGGGGGTGAAAAGATCACCAGCGCCCTTTAAGATATTTGAAAACGCCCAATGCCATTCGAGTAACCTATTTTTATTTTTATACTATTTATATATAGTATATACTATTTTTACATACTATATATTAAATAAATATTTTTTACTTCTTGAATAATTCTTTTTTTAGTCGCAGTGTTACGAAACTGACGCAAATTCTCAGCCGGGGTTCCGCGGGAGGAATCGATATCGAGGAGCGATACACTGAGAGAAAAAAAATAGTTGGAATAACTATAATCTCACTATATTTTATAGTTCGTTTTGGCCTCAAACATATATTTATAGTTCATCCAAAAATAAAGATATAGCAGAATGAACACACATTTATAGTCACCATTTTATTACTCTATGTGTATAGTAAGGCACGCTTTGAGAATATAGTTCTATGTACTCATATTTTCCAAATATTCTAATTGTATTGACTATATAAAATAGTTAATTTCTCTTACCATTTAATATTTGCTATCTTACTATGTTTTTTATTTCAAATAATTATAATTCTTGGTAAAAGTTTTACATGAGTCAGTTATACTATGCTTATATTGTAAATATTACAAACATTATGGTGACATTTACTATAAAAAAGATATTCCTAACTATAATCTTTTTACTATGCCATTATAGTTCCAAATATCATACATTTTTCTCTCAGTGTACTTTGACAACAAAACGATGGCCGATCGCACGATATCGCATACCACTTGTCTACATTGTTTCGCTGGACCTTGACATTGCGCGCGCGTGGTCGACTGGATTGATAGGCTCTTTCATTTCCAGCGACATTCTCCACACGTCACGATATATCGACGTTAATGGCGTCGCTTCGTTACTTATTCAAGCCTGCGACGGTTTGACGGCTGCGAGGGACTAAGGGTGCACGAAGAGGCGCGGTTCTATTTTAGGATGATTTTGCGTCTCAGGAACAACGGCAAGTGCGTATTCTGGGAGCGATATCGGATCGATAAATGTCAGAGGCCGCCTCCATAATAAAGAACTTGTTGAAATCAAAAGACCACGAATGAAAAGCGAAGGGAACGCCGTTCCCCAGCGCGAAGTCCGAACAGAGAAAAGAGAGACGGAGACCGAGATAGACCTTTCATGATTATCACGCGAGACAAGATCGACAACGAAAACAATTCTTTTGATTACTTTTATGAAGAAAACATACTGCTTTGAATGAATTATCAAGTCTACATCATATAATAATGTAAATTTTTTGTTACATTGATATAACAACAAATTCACGCTAAAAATTACACTTTTTCTAGAGAATATGAGATCTTTTCTAGAGATTATGTTGTGTAACTCGTGTTGACACGTAAACGACTATTTCGCATTTGTTGATTTCCGTTTCTATGGAATTCAGTTGAGTTTGTTATTTCTCTTTCATACGAAGATATGTATTTGTCGATGCAATATAATCGATGGATCGATATTACGCGATTAACTATCGCTTTCATACAGTTGTGGACAATATGGTTAACTGGTTTCAACTTTATATGTTTCAGGAGTGAGAGCATTAAAAAGCTATAAACTGCCCGTGAAACCTAAAATGAGCGAAAATGAAAAAATATGACTTAAATATTTTTTGTATTTCTATATTTGTGCTAAATTAAAAAGAAACCGGAGGGTAACTTGTCGGTAGGTTTACTTGTTAGACGCGATAATTATTTATTATGAGATATTAATAACAGAAAATTGATCAATCGATGCGCGCGATGTGGCGGGACGAGTTCTGCAGGGCAGTCCGCAGAGAGAAGATGTCATGGACTTGTTTCCTGGTGTCCTAGCAACGACAGCGACAGGCGTGCGGGAAGATGACGCATAGCGCAGAATTACGTTGTTCGCTGCTCTCAAATTCGTGAATCCAATTGATGTGTGCGCTTAATCACGGCTGAATCTAAAAGCACACACGCCAATCGGGTTCACGAGTCTCGCAACAGTTGCAAAGCAGCTCTCTGCATGTAGCCAATGTTACTTTCATTAGCCTTCATTCGATTTCCGCCGTTGCCAGGAAACAATCGACAAGCCCATGTGTCTCCCGATTGCCTGCGTTTCCTTCCTCTCATTGATATCACAGTAATCATAGCAGAGCGGTTCGCAACACGGTGAGTGACTTTTCCGTTCAGTTCAATGAGTTTTTGCTTGCGCGCATGAGCGCTTGCGGACACCTAAACCCGAGCACCCTTTCTTCTGCGTATAACTCGTCTTGTCGGCGGCGACTCGTTCTTCGCGTTAACTTAAATCTCGAGCGAGCGTCGCCATACGCCGCCTCCATTCCTCCTCCGCGCCCGCTGGGACCTCTGGAGTAATCGCGCGCGGTAGGCGGAAGCGCGGATCCAGAGACATAGAGACAGACAGGCGAGGGAAGAGCACTG